GTACAATCCACTGTACGAATGTGTTTAAGTACAATCCATTGTTCAGTGGATTGTGCAATTTTTTTATCTTTTCTTGTGCTGTTACTGAGGGCTGTAAATTTTAATATTTTAATAGCATTTTCATTTGCTCTTTCTTTTTTTACAGACAAAATGGTAGGTTCTTGGATGTGATAATGATAAGAGAGTGTTATGTCAAATACTACTCTCAAAAGACGGTAGTTGTCAGCCGGCGGCATTTAAATAAAATAAATAACAATAAACTTTTCTCGTGAGGAAATTGCTTTATTTTATATACGGTACGGACGAAAAACTGAGATGGATTATAAGCTTCTCAGATTTGATGAAACATTAAACTCTGATGCTTATTGCGTTTATTTCTCGTATTCACTTAGAAACTTGCAGTAAGACTCTCTGTAGTAAATAAAATAAAAACAGTTTTACTGTTTTACGGATTCATTCTTCTCGATTACACGCAAGACTCATTCTTTACGAAATACTCTATAAAATTTCAGAGAACTGTGCTGGAATTTTGGTTGGTTGGTTTTCTAACTACCTCATCTATTTTATAACCCCAAAATAGCTGCCTTGTATTACTATTTTTGATGAACAATGTAATGTTTATTAGTTGATAAAAAATTTAAAATATTTTATGCTGTTCAACCAGATTGTAATTCTAAGAAATTAAAGTGTTTTAAAAATGGTACTTACAGCTTGATTTCTGGGTGGAGAAAGGTTACAGGAAATATAAAAATGATGAAAATTAATGAGTATTTACGTTACTAATATCTTTGTGTTTGCTTTGATTATGATACAGCTTCGAAATTTACCTATAAAAGCGTTGAAAGTTTGAAATGACCTTTTTATCAATTTTATTGCAGCATAGGGATTCGAATTTGAAGCTTTTTATAGCCAGCTGATCGTTGTGCCTACTGTGGATGACGTAAACAGTGGCATCGCAATCATATTGAGTTGTTTTCAAAATGCTTGATAAAAAAAATTGCATTTCTACCATTTTAGAATAGTTTAATAGTTAGCTTGACAGAGAATCTTAAGATCCCAAGTTCGAATTCGACGAAAGACACACGTCTGTTCTCAGGTAACACTTGAAAATGCTTCATCTCTGCTGCATGTATGCAATTAATAGGATCAATAACTTTGGTTGTTGAGATAATTATTTATTTAAACAAAATGCTTGTTAAAGAATCATAAGGAAGAAATTCTTCTAGGTTAAATAAAAAGAAAAGAAGCTATAAGCAAAATAAGCATTGAGGATCATCAAATTGTACAAATGCTCATAAAATTAATATTTGGCTATATTATAAATTTAAAACGATTATAAATTACATCTTTATATGAGATTTAAATTATAAAAATGGGCTTTTGTCAAGTCATTGAATAACCTTTTTTAAATCACTGGATTAACTATGGAATTACAATCATAATTTCGAAAGAAAATCGAAGATATCGGCTCACACAAATGGCAGTGATCTGGAAGGAACTGCTTTCCTACAATGTGTGATAAATTCAAAATCTTATGTGTGCTATGATTACATTTGCGATGATGATAAATTATGTGAGAATGTCACGATGATGTTGAAGAAGTTCAGTAACATTCTACTAAAGACATTTCTAATGTCAAAATAGAAAGAAATTTTCGCGCCATTACTTTGAAACTCCACCGAGGTCCTGTCAGATCAAGGAAGTGTTCATATCAGATATTTACTATTTTCAACCCTGAAAAAATGTTTGTCATTCGTTAAAGAACAAAATGTTTAAAGATAAACAAAGAAACATAAAAAGCACGCGTGAAACTTACATTTTCGAACTTTCATTTCCACAAACATTTTCCTTGACTTAATGAATTACTTCAAAAAAGGATGTATCGAGGTCTTTGTATTACGACTATATATACGTGCTCAGACAGATAAGGAAGATAGTCCATTTTCTTCACTCACATTTGTCAATTTTGATATCACTGACTTATTTCATTCAACAAAGTAAATCACAGATTGCTTAAAAAAATCGTAAACAAAACTACAATCATAATATCTCAGAACCTTTGACTCATTAATTTTAACATCAAAGTTTCTCGTAAAAACTTTCTTTCATAACTATAAAAGTTATAAAAGAAAAAGTTTTAAAACTATATTTATAACTGTAAATAAATTAATTACACGAAAATATAAATTATTTTAATTTTATAATTTCGTTTTTTATGCAACTGATATAATAATATCAGAATTGTATCCCTCTTTTTATTTCAAAATAAAAGAAATCATTCATCAGGTTTGAATAAATCTATCTATTCATTTTGTAAATAAGAGGAATTTACTTATGTATTGATAGGATTAATTTACATATATGGTAGCTAAATAAAATATTATTTTATGAGTTGAACTACATTACTTCTTTAAAATGGCCTATTTTTTTAACGTTAACTGTTTAAAGGATATGCTAGTATATACCTTCTCTCGTGAAATTTTATGCTTGTTATAGGCAATGCCAATTATCTCTTTATAAATTTTGCAGTTATCGCCTGACCCTCAAGAACAAATTCCTTGTGAAGCATTTCTTTCCACCCCCCCCAAAAAAAATAATAATCAGTAATATGAGCTTTACTAGTTTGTATGGCCGTCAAAAACTTTCTCCAGTATAAACAGATATTTGCGATTTTATCTTAGGATCAAAAGCAAAGTGTACAGTTTCAGCTCCAGTCGCAGTTTGTAAACATCAGGATTAATATCTGCTATTTGAGACAAGTCATAATGTGCGAGAATTCTATCTTGTTTCTATCACCCAGTCAATTCAAGAAGTACAAAATCAGTATAAACATTTCTTTTACAATATAATTCACTAAATCCTATGAGTAGTATATTTATGACGTTAAACTCGCGGGATAACATTCGAAGAGCCAAGTGACGGTTTTTCGACAACAGTTGTCGAACTGTTTCGATGTTCTCATCTGTTCGAGACTACTAAAAAGGGTATTACTTCGCTTCCATCACGAAATTATACGTATTACTAGCATAAACATGAGATTTTTAACACTCACATGCTCTGCATAATATTTCCAATGAATCTGTTGCAATTTCTGCTTTTCAGCATAATTTTACTGCTCTTCATCGCTTAAATTTCGAATCTACTAAGCTGGATGAAAGATCCTCACTGGATGAAAGCAAATGATTAATTATTTAGGAAACTCTGCCCATGAGCACACGAGGTTTTAGAAAAAGCATGTTGAAACATTGTAGTGAAAAATGCTGTCAGTTACCATTTCGCAGTTTGGCTGAAATTTGCTAAAACTTTATCTTAAAATTTTATACACGTACTGTTTAAGCCAATACATTTTCATGTCTGATACTCTTCGGGAAATAACGTCCCTCTTATATGCTCAGCCTTAATCCTGATACTCGTAAAATTAGGATAATTTATTAAGTATTCCAGTGATTTTAATATTCAAATAAAACACTTTTAAATTTGGCAAGTTATGATGTTTAAATTATTCAACTTGGTTTTACTTAGTATCTTCTTCTAGCTCATATACAGAGTAATCACAAAACAAAACCGGATGTTTTATGTTATTCAGTATTCACCCCAGACACACAAGCTAAACAATGGCCAAGTAAATAAGACTACTAAGCACTGGTATTTCGAATTTCAGGTGGGTTCATATCCTGTCGATCGGGTAGCTTGATGAACGTTTTCATGGTTTTTCTTCCTGTATAACGCCAGCACGAGCTAACGACTTTTAGTTTAGTATCACACATTCATTAGTTTAGGACGAACAACTGCTTTAAACAGTTTTTCTACTAGCTTTGCCATTGTAAAGATGATACACGATTTTTTAATTTCTTTTGCAAAAACCTGTAAGTTGTTCGTTTTAAAGTCGGCTATCGAATCCTTATCATCAATCACCGTTTGTATTGGACAACTACAAACGTACCTTTACATTGTAACCCCAAAACGGTCTGCGATGATTGGCTGTTTCACATCGTGGGACAAAGCAGAAAACTTTTTCTAGAGAGTTGTTCTTCCAAAATTTTTGGAATGTATGATACTACCTTTAGAAAGCCTTCCATGGAGGCATCCTTATCGTTAAGCAGATAGCCATTGTGCGTTTTACAGTAATCAGATCAAGAAACCTAGACATTTTCGTCCAAAGTATACAGTCAAAATAGTTTAAAGCTTTGAGATTCCATAAGAGTTCGATAAACATGAAATCCAACTTTTGTATGGCTCATAACCTAAAAAAGTATTGTTAAAAATATTCATTAGATATTAGATATGGCTTTATATGATATATTATTTAAAATGGTTTCGCAGTTTTTTTTTTTCGTCCTCTTTTTTTCTCCTTTTCTTTTTTTTCTTCTGTGTGTGTGTGTGCGCAGGAGGTAGAGAGAAGGATGTTCCTATTTTAGAAATTTCGAGTCTAGGTCACACACAATCTTTATTTGAATTTATTACATTTATTTGAATTTGTTCCATTTATTTGAATTTATTCTATTTATTTGAAATTTTTCTGTGGCATATTTTTAAGTATTTAAGTGTCTATTTTCAATAAATAATAGTTGGTTATTATTTTGCTATGAAACAAACCACACTCAAGAAGCAACTAAAATAAATAACTTATTCCTCAAAATTTTGCTAACTAAGTAATCAAAATTATTTTTTATATATATTCCCAATTGAAATATTGACAGGCGAGTGACAATGCTCTATCCTGGAAGAAACTGATGTCTTTTTAAGCTGTCGAAGTACGCCATCTTTTCTTTTTACTTTCACGATAAAGTAAGGCTTTGCATTGTTTTGCAATTTTACACCGTGATGGTGCAATGAGTTACGTTGCTCAGTCAGCGTAGCTAGTTAGTGCGTCGGCTGATTTGCCACAGGGAAAATAAAAGTCGCGCGAGTTGCACGCAGAATGAAAATTTGCCTTCATTAAGAATCCAAGGAAAAAAAAAAAATATCTATGCGCAGAAATACCTGCAGCTCAAACGACTTACTACAAGAGGAAAGTCCGAGTTCCTGCCGATTATATTATTTTTTATTTTCTTCTGTTGACGTTCAACTTTCTTACATTACCAAAGTACCTCAAGGTCATAGCATCCTTTACGTCGCCAGAGAGCAATTAAGAATCCCGAAACCAGAAAAAAGAGAAACGAAAACAAAGAACAAAATACTGGGCTAGAATTCGCTCCTATTTGAAGACTCGTTTCAATGGCTGCTGCGGAACTTTGAGTGGAGGACGTCTGATGTATATACAAAATACCTTTTAAGATCTCCGTGCTTTAAGAGGTAAGATTTTCCTTATTTTCTTCATCGTAGAATTGGCTCTTTTTGTGTCAGTTCAGACTTTTATGTAAATAGTATTTTCATAATAGATTATTCGTTAAGAATCCAATGTTCTGATCTCTTGCAAGGTTCATTAAACGGTTAAAATGACTACGATACTCAAGATAGAACTGAGTTTTCCATCAGTTATTCCAACTGTATTTTTAAAAATTGCCGTTTAATAAACTCATGAACTGGTTTTATATTTGAAGATTACATTTTGTTCTAACTATAGCAACCATTGTCTAAATTATTCCAGGGATATTTTTTCGTATTCACCTATTTTAAGTTTCATAAAGAAGATTTTAAGGCTTGTGAAAGAAAATTTTTGTAAAGTCGAGGTTGCCAACGTTAAGCCGCGTGTTGTACTGTAACATTCGCAATACAATGATCATATATATTTTCCGAAATTTGCAGGAATAAAAATAAATCGAACATAGGCATTAGTATAGACATTGGTAATATACCTCAAAAGCTTTTTTTATCGCATTGTTTTGCATAAGTAACCTGCAAACATTTACATAAAAAGTTACTTTTTTAGAATATATATAATTTAACAATCTTTCTGATAAAGTAGAGAGAAAGAATAATTTACAGTGCTTGAATATATTTTATTTTTAGGGATGTTACTTATAATTAAAGGTATATGTTAACCTTTTCCTATATCTTTTTACCATCCTTGACTGGAATTAAGATAGTCATAAATAATTGCATGATTTAATATGCTTTACTCCAAGATTTCTCAACCAAGAGGTAGTTCCCGTCTGGGGGGGGGATTTTATAGTTTCAAGGGAAGAATACGGTTAGCCTAAATTCATCTGTTAAGTATTTAGTTTTATTTTATGACTATAAAAAAACGACAGAAGATCTTTAAGTGCCTTTCATTAATTAGAAAAGCTTGTTGCTTTACGGCAAGTTTAAATATTTAAAAACAATAGACGCACTTTTTAAAAAGAAAAAAAGAATCTGAAATGTTACGGATTTTAAATTACGTCCAAAGGGGCGTTTTTATAAACGTTTTGTGTGTTACCTTTATTTATTAAATATCATGTTCTTTGCACTTAAACCATAAATTTAGTTCAATAGCAATGTCGCAAAATAATTTTAAAATGAGCATATCTTTAGAATTTCTGGTACAAAGTCCCCCTCGCTGGAGATAAATGTTTTTTCTCCGTATAGTGTTGCCATTGCTCGCTTTGAAATCGTTTACTTTGTTAATCAAAAATTTGTTTAAGTGTTATAAAATAGGAAATCAATAATAAAACAAATTTCAAACTCAAATTAGGGCTTCCACATGCCCATATTCTGTGGAAGATTACGTTATTCAAAATTTGATGGCTCTAGGTACCGTTGTTTTATCCCCAAGCGAGAAACATACATACATTTATGCAGATTCTTCATTATTTAATTTTTTTAATATAATACAGGGCTCTAATAGTTGGTGGCAACAATTTGAAAAGTGAATCAACGTTTGTAGTAAATCAGCGCAAAATGCCAAATCGAAATTTATAGTCCTTCTGGGCAAATTCCCCCTTTGGACTAAAATTCTCAGTACTTTCAGAGTAAAAAATGTGTTTTTTGCGCGCTTTTTAAAAGAGTATACAAAGTTTAACAGGTTAATTACATATGAAACTGAAAACGTTTGTCAATATTTTTCATGGTGAAGGTCTATGGATATAAAAATTTGTTAATATATCACAAGATGTTTTGAATTAGTTTTTATATTCATATGCTATTCTTTCATGTTTTATATTCAAAATGCAGTTAACTTTTAAACGCATGCAATCACTAATCAATTTTGAATAAGCTGTTTGTTTTTCGTATTATTTGCTCACATTTTCAATAAATTTTGCGAAAAGGAAAAACTGCAGGAATCTACCAGTAAACTGGTTTACAATGATAATTTTGCCGAAATACGAGTAATTGAAAAAGGCGGCAAATATGCAGATCTTAGTTTCCTGTTACAAGGAAACTTTCTTTCAAATGCCATTATAATTAAAATACAAGGTAAGTATGTCGTTAATATACAAACTTGTAAGCTGTTTTTAGATTTTAGAAACTAGGAATAGTCGAACTTCAGGGAATAATAAGGCTGTAAAATGAAACGTAAGTGCACGTTTTGGCCAAACGTTCTACAGTTGTGATGTCCAAGAGCAAAGGACATCGTCGCGAAGAAGCTGGTGTCCTCTGTTCGGTATCTTGGTCTCATATGACGAAACCTGACAGATTCTTGTCTTTGATGACAAAGAATACCTCTGATAGTTTACTTCGACTAAAGAATTCTTTTGACATTTGGTGATTTTTTTCGATTTCCGTTAGGGCACATTGCCGTTTTGTTTAAGAAACATAACAAGAAACCCCATGTTCATTATCTATATTATCTTCACTATCTATTATTCAAAAAATTGGTAGACTATTTGTTATTCAATGGGATAACTTGGTACATGTCGTCCTTTATTTTATTTAGATTCCAAAATATTGAACCAAAGACATAACGCTGAAAGTAGGAGTTAAAGAAGAGTCTCTGCCACTGTCAAGATAAAACTGTCAGATGACTTATTGCCTCGTCTGATTCTTATTTCCTATTTATATTTGGAGGAATACCAATTCCACTTTTTATCTTGTATAATCAATGTCAGTTTCAACTTGCCATACTACATACTCAACAAGATTAAGATTTGGTATACACAGATAGTATTTAAAATTATTGCAATTTCAGGATATTATTGGATTTTCATCGGAGATTACTTTCTCTCTATAAAAAGGTCTACTAGCCATGATACAATTCGGAAATGCATTTTAGTGGAAAATACGGAATTCATTCAGTAGAAAATAGGAAACAATTTCATTGGCCGTAGATCAACGGGATTATTTCCTAAATTCTAAACACTCCTTATACACCTACCAAGAAAAAGCTGTGATTTAACAGAGTTCTTTTATTTGCAAATAGTAATACTGTAGACTTTGTGATCTCCCGAAAAAGGGGAACATGATATGATCTTGCAAAACAGTGGAATTACAAGAATTATTACGAATAAACCTACATAAAATTTAATGACGGTAATTCGTTACTTTTACGTAGCATCAGATTTATTTTCAAATTTTTAGGTTATGTAAATGAATTGTTCAAAGAGTTGAGTTAGAAATAAAAATGGCAATAATTAATGAAAACAGCTAATAATTAAGAGTTAGCATAACATCAATTTAAAGATTGTCATAAGTAGAAGTTTATCGAACTTTATTTTCTTAATTTTTATTTAGGAAATGTGACGGAAGTAAGGAGGGAGCTGAATAAACGACATGAGGTGTTGCAGTTGAAAGACAGTAATGGGAGATATGAATCTCAGGCTTATCGTTTTGGTTTCTGTCCTTATTCTGTTAGAAATAACAGGTAAGTCAAAAGAAAGCTAAGTCAAATGTCACGCAAAGGAGAGAATATGAAGAAATTACTTCGGAAGTTGCAGTATTAACAAATTTGTACAAACGGCAACTTTTCAGGCAGAAAACGAAGGTCATAACATTTAGACATGCAATACTTGAGAACGTCAAATTAGAAAACATGCTAAGAGTATTTTGTTTTGCTAAACGCTTCTACTGCGCATTTTCAGTCTGTGTAAAAAATACAGAGGATGAAGAAAATTTGCTAGACTGTTTCTTTTATTTATTCTATTCAAAAACCAAGATTTAAAAGAAAATGTCACACCTACAATTTTGTTATTTATTTTCTTCTTGCTACATCAAACAAAATACGAGAATATAATAGCATTTTTGTTGATGAATCCAAACATACGTACTGAATATTACTATCGTAGAACCGCCTTTTTCGTGATATAGATTTAAGCTTATATGAGTAGGCGTAAATTATGTGTTACATCGAGAAAGGTAGTCATGTAAAGGTCAAAGCCATGCAGGGTTCCTCTACTAATTTAGCTAATTTGTACCTTTCCAAGACTGTCAGTTTGTAGAGACATTAGCTTATTTTGAAGCAGGAGAGATGATAAATAAGCAACGACTTCACCGGGAGTCGAAGCGCGGACCTCTGGAATATACGCCCAGCGTGCAGACCACTACAATACGAAGGCACGCTAAGAAGGCGGGAGAATTACCTTATATACTCCCCCTTTTAAAGGGTGTTTGGGATTGGACCCAATCGCCAAATCCTGGGTGGGGAGAATCATCATCCACTACCCTTTTCGTTCGTATTGGCGTATTTACGTATTGGCGGGTTTTGAAATTTTGCATTTTCTTAAAGCAATAATAACGTAAAATATGGCTTACGGATCTAAAAATAACAGATATGAGTAAAAAATATAAAGCAAAGAAAGATATTTGAAAGAATGAACGATTCACCTTTTTTTCTGTTAATGCACTAAGAAAGTGAAAGGAAAATAAGTTACCATAATTAAGAATTTCTCCCAGTGGACTATTTTTGGCGCAAACTGAAAAATGTGCATCCAGATAAATTTTCGAATTTCTCAGTAAATTTCGAAATTTAATATTTAGGCCAAATTTGAGTCGTAGAAAAAGATATACATTTTATCCGTAGAATCGAAATATGGAAAAAGATATACATTATTTCAGAAAAAGTCTGATTTTTTGACAAAATACTCATATTAGAACAATCCTAGAAATCTAATGAAATCATGCTCTCCAGAAATGAAAAACGCAAGTTAAATTTCATCCGTCTCCCCACTCTAGTAGAACGGGATATATTAAATTGTCCCTTTTTTGTGTAGAGTGTGGGTATTGATATCAAGTAGATTAATATCAAAATTAATGTCAAACTCTAATCCACATTTTAAAGAAATGTCTCCAGTTTCAATAGTGTTAACATTGTTTTGCCCAATCTCTCGTGTGTTATAAGTATTTGAAACAAATTAACAACAAAGTACTATCAATGACTTTCCCATGTATACATAACAATACTGAAATAATGTATGACTGTAAATTACATTACAATCAAAATTTTAAATGCGTTATTTCTTCGCAGTAAACGGGAGCCCTCAATTCACCAGATGCAAGGCAATGAGTGGACATGCTGGCCTCTGCGTCGCTGATCGCTTCTGCAGAGTTCGGTCTATAAAACTTGTTCCGTGCGTTACGGATGACCCGTTTTTGTATTGCTGTCCATTTCCCGCCAACGATACAGTTTGGAGTTTGGAAGATAAAGATTCTCCGCCCATCATCTTCCCCAATGAAGCTTCCCTTTCTGGGAAACCAATAGTAAGTCCATTCATTCCAAGTCTCATAAGCAATCAAAACTTCGATCTCTACATAAAAACTACATTTAGTGATAATATTTATGGAATTATAATTCTTAAAGTTTCGGCACAAAGGATATATCAGTTGTGCTGAAAACGTCATTCGGAATAAAATCATGCATGGAATATAGTCACAGTACATCATGGGAGAAGCCAAAAGGTAAGAAAATAACTGTCAAAATAGTATTTGAGCTTTGAAAAGACAAATGGAGTTGCGTCTGGCATCCAGATTCATTTTAAAGGATGACATATCTTTTCAGGGGCCGAAACTTGATGTTCACTTTAGACTAGGTTTCGCTTCAGCATCGTTGGTCGTTGTGAGTTCCCTTACTCTGGATGTAGCGTGATAGACACTGCAAGATATACGTAGTGAGTTATCTAACTTCGAGCGTAGCATAATAGCCAGAAAAACGTTGTGAGCTCCCTTACGTAGCTGTGGCTAGAGACGCGTCGTGAGCTATCTGACTTTAAACGTAGCATGAAAATCCGTGCGAAAGACACATTATATGATATCGATGATAGCGCAGAGATTTTGTTCGCGTAGTTTCTGCAATGTCACACTGATGACATTACCTACGCTTAAGTCAGCGATTAGGCTGGCAATGGACACTTACAATGCTCATCGATTGCCACTAACATGAACCGCCAACAAACGCATTTAATGAAATCATTACAAATATCATTGAAAGACCAAACACAGAACGTTAAAAGAAGAACTCTCTTTTGCCTTCTGTATTTCATAGAAATATAGAAGACATTAGCTGCACTATTTATGCAACAAAGCGTTTACAAGTTTACTTCAATATACATATGGCTATTTAAATCCTGTACTTAAGCAAAACGTAGTTTTTGTTGAAGGAAGTGAATGACAGCTTTTGTTTATGTTTAATTTATAAAGGCTTAATATGAAAGTTATGAATTTATAATTTTAGCCCTAAATTTGCATGAGCAGATGGATTGTATAACTAACATTAAATACCAAAGTACAACTACGATATATATTAGTATTTTTATGTAAAACATCGTTATGTTATTTTCGCAGTGATCTGACACATAATAAGCGATGGAAATTCAGTCGCAGGAATTTATATTATTTTTTGCTGCATGACAAATGGGAGGTTTCATATGCTCCTTTAATAACTGAGACTAAAAAATTAAAATACCATTAAATTAAGTAGTTTAAATACGAGCAACCTGCCGTCAAATTAATAAAAGTTCTAATTGCTCTTGAGAGAGATGCTGTATTTAAAATTAGTACCAGTTGTATGCTTAGCGGATGTTTTATAATCAGAGCCTTTATGTATGCCTACATATATCATAACATAATATTGATTCTGCAAAGTTTTAGTACTAAGTTCGTACAAAACCGAAAGCTGAAGAAAACGCTTTTTACTTCTTAACCTTCGTATACAATATTTGTAAGTCTATGCAGTGCTTGGCACATTGATACATCTGCTTGATTCCTTAGTAAAACTCATGCTTTGGAATACCGTTTAACGTCTTCCTGACAGTTTTCTGTATCTAGTCAGTGAAAGTAGTCTGCAGGTGCCAAGTCTGATAAATAACAGGATGGTTGAGATTTAAGACACGTATCTTTCTACTAGGAACTGCTTGACTACAATGGAACTGTAAGACAGTGCATTATCATGCAACGAAACTAAGTCGATTGACTGAAAGCGTTTTCAGGCTTCACATGTTGAATTTGCTTCAGAAGGTTTTCTATTATATCTTTGTAAAATAAATTTCTCATTAATTAACCCTTTCCAATTAAAAATTTATTTTTTCCATTTTAGGATAATGATGATGCCCGAGAAGAAGGCTATGAATCGGACGAAATAGTTTTCCCTCAAGATGAAACAACAACCACTAAAACTACACACCGGCCCACTCGAAAGTTACTTCCTTTTCCCTTTTTAGGGCATACAACATCCTTACCGAACTTGGATAAGCAACCACAAAATTCTCGAACACAAGAACCTAAACGAATGCCTACGTCAAGGGAAAGAAATCCAAATGAAAATGTTTATATTGATGGAGAGCTAGAAGAAGGAGGACAAATACTGTTCGAACTATTCCCAAAACCTAAGACAACCACTCAAAGGCAGAGGATAACTACATTGAAAAATCAAGTTCCAACAAAACTAACTGTTACCTCAAGACCAGAAGTGTCTACATCTTCTAGACAAGACTATCCCACAACAAAATCGACCGTACAGCTTCCAGAAACAACTACTAAACTTACTCCAGATAAAATCACTTACGGCCCCTTTGACAGTATTGACACCAATAAGGCTTCTATAGAACCAGGTATTGTGGTACAGGTTTTGTTTTTGACATTTTCATTAGTACTAGTAATTATAGGCAATCATGAAATTAATTCACAGTGTGCTGCAAATGTGTGTTTTAGGCGTTTAAATGCCCGTATATATAATTTGCTCGGCGATGCAAGTTTCTTTCTAAAATTACTGCCTCACAGGAATTTGTTTGTATAGTGCGAATTTATTTCAGAGTTGATCTAAGCTACTGATCCAGTAATAAAAGTCATGTTCATTATATATTTTCTATCCAAGAGAACTCATCGCATGTACAAATAAACACTAATTTCGGTGGATATCTAAAGATAGTATAAACCTCGTTTGCCTAATCGAGTTATTTTCTGTATTTTCTATTTATTTGTGGAAAGTAAAAGTCCGAGTATCAACATGATTCATCAATCAATGCTCTGCAATGATGAAAACTTTCAGTGATAAGTAAGTTAATTTTAATTAATGATAGCATAAAGAAATTAAAATATAAAATTAAATGAAATAATAAAACAAATAGAACAGTACAAACAAGTCGAGAGTTATAGCTCGTCACTTCCATATGCAATATTGTTGTTTGTTGCCAATTAAATCGTCAGCAACATTGTTTGCTGTCCTATTCAAAACCATTATAGCTAGCATGGACACTGTCAACATGTTCCTGTCGCGCTGGTATGATGTTTCCCTGTGTAGACAGGTTGGTGTAAGCGCAGTAGTCGTGGGAAGAAACTTGCTCGAATACATGTTTCCTCGTGTAGACCAAGGCTGTTTGAAGCTTATCTAAACATTGTCACTTGACGCTATTGGTGCACTGAAGATGTATCGCTGAGCCTATTTCCTCGGTGTCTTTATGTGTATGTAGTTAGATTATGTAGTCTCGGTGTCTTTTCGTGTTATGTAGTTATTATATGTAGCTAGAATTTACTGCATTGCATTTCTATTTATCATTGTGTTTAAAGCAGCGGACTAGAAAAATCCTGTTCTTTGAAATATAAATACATGCCCTTGGTACTTACGTGTATTCGGCATTAAACTCCGTCCGCAATCGAATCTCCATCTTTAACCATTTCGTTACGCAATCAAAACCTTTTTTTTTTTTTTTTTTTTTAAATTCTTGTGATATTTTTTTGTAATGTTTCTTATAGAATGTACACTAATGAACCTAGGATATCAATCTTCATCGTCATTATCCAATTTCAGGCAAGCAAGTAACTAAAAATCAGAAATTCACTTACGATAAGAAATTGCTTTTAGAATACTCATATTTCATATTTATTGTTTACCCAAACAATTTAAGGAGACTCAGTACTAGATGAAAATTGGGACATGTTTTTCTTGTTTATTAAAGCTGAAATTATTATTTTACACACTTGGCAAGGCAGGCTGTTTTCACATACAAATAAGTTTCTTGTAAAGTTATCGTCATTCTTTGATCAACAATTTTATTTTAATAAAAACAAACACAAGGTAAAATTTACCTGTAGAAACTATCTGTGATGTCACGAGTACAGAGATTCACTTACAATTCACAGTATATAATTTTGAGGCAATGCTAAAGTTTGTCATTAATGCTTTTCAATTTTGCAGTATAAGATACGGTTATAGAAAGAGATGTATTCACATTTCAAAAGTAAAATGCTTTTAAAAATATTTTGACGAGTCAACGAGACGTTAGCCAGACTATAGAATTTATATGAGAGCTTAAGAATCAATGATCAGTCTTTGACCATAGTGACAAGAACAGCCTTTTTCTGTCCATTTTTGAAACTTCGTGTCTTTAGGATGTTTACTGGACTATTCATTTGACACTTGGCTAATAAATTCGAGAATATTTATACATAACTATAATCGCTTGTTGTTAACTTGATCGCTTGTCGTTAACTTGATCGCTTGTTGTTAACTTTATCGCTTGTTGTTAACTTGATCGCTTGTTCGGTAACATAAGAAAAGGGATATCTAACATAAACAACATTTTGTAATTCGTGTTAACTACATATATTTTTTAAATGCCATAGAAAACAAAAATATAAAATTACAAAATATCAAAAATTTTATGCTAATCAATGAACTTAAATATGTTTAAACTAACATAGCTTAAAAATACTTATTTAGAAAATCACCTTTGGTTTTAATTATTCACGAATATCACTCGCAAATCACAAGATCATTCATTCGAATTAGACGTTGAATTTTAACAGTTGTTAAGATGGTTTTTTATAGGAAAAAAAAGTATATTTATACTTCTGGAAGGGCGAATAAACGTTGTTGACCTCTAGTTGAAAGTATCGTATGTTTTTCTCTCTTATGTTTGTTTTCATGTTATTCGTTTGAACAGTGTTTTACTCGGCTGTTTGTATAGAATATATTTGTGGATTAGAATTCAAAGAACTAAAATATTTATGTATTTCTTTCTCCTATAGCTTGCGGACAAGCCCCATTTTCGCCTTTAATTGCCGGAGGTACTGAGTCAAAGTCAAAACAATGGCCCTGGATGGTACGAATCAGTTTTATGTTAAAAATTATTCATACAAATGTAATACAGATCCTTGTAAGATATAATGACAAATTTAACATATTGTATGACTTAGCACACCACTTAACAAGTTAAAATATCTTAGTATGTAAGGTTAAACCTAATTTCCTACATAATTCTTAAAAATATTCTTTATGTAACCTTCTGTGTTTCCGAGGACCTTATCATGTTCTCACTTAATGAAAAGTGTAGAATTCTATGAAGCACTGATAAAAACTAAAATTAAACTAACAGTTTATTAACCTTATGTCTTTTAAGTACAACCAAAAGTAATACAAAACTCAACCATTGCTTAATATGTATGACACAACAAATATATTTAATATCTGCATAGCATAGCGCCAGCTAATTGCGATCTCTAACCGTAAACGTTTACTCACTAATTAAATACCATATAATTTACCTTCTGGTGACATTGATGGAAGAAACAGAAATAATAGGAGAGATTTAATATAAAATTAAAAGTGTTCTGGATTGTCTCCTTTTTATTGATTTAGATACTTATATACTTATCATTTTTCCTTTATTTACAACAAATTGGGGGTTTCTAAAACTCAAGAGCTAGTGTCTTCCGAACAACGTTGTATACATTTTCGTGTAACACTAACGTAGCACTCAGTTATGAATATTACGAAGCACTCTTTTTTTTGTTTCTTAGGAAAGTGGAAACGCATGTTTTCTGTCTCTAAAAGTGCGTAATATTTTGCTATAAAATCAGACACCCATCCAACATTGAATTTCTCATATTTTTGAATATGTTTCTGTACTACATTTATATTCAAACACCTCTAGTATTAAAATTATATTATTTCATTACTAGTTGCTGTTCTTCCCAGTGCGTAAACCTTTTCTTACAAACATTTCGTCAAACAAAAAATAAATGCATGTGATTATAGCATCCTTTTGCATACGACATGGAAATATAACTTCCTTAAAAATTTTGAAAACGTTTTTCAAGTTGTATAGTTAGGGTTGGCAAAATTCTTCCGCAGAGGTATGTACTGCTGGAAAAATGAGCTAGAAGAAATAGATTTCTTCCATTAAAGGTGGAAGAAGCTAATTTTTGAACTTGTTTCATATTTATGCTATTATATCTAGATTTTCTCATATGTAGCACTTATTTTAATTACATAAATATTTTAATTCTGTATAATAGCCTCATTTCAATGTATGCAGTGATATACTATATTTAATTAAATGTATAAATTCAGTAAATTTATAATCATATTCACCATAATAAAAATTAATTAACACAAAAAGTGTTTTAGTTGTAAAATTAAACAGAACTATTGTAAAATCTCATAAAGTACCAGGATTGTGTAAAATTCAAATTCGTGCAAAATTATCACAACGAAAAGTGCAAAATATAATAAAATCAAATGAATTTTACATATCCTGGAAGACTTTATAAGTGGATGGTGTAGGGAGAGGAGTAATAGAAAAAGGCTTATTCTGAACTCACAAATATACAAAATTAATCTTAAATCAGAAGAACATAAATTAGCACAGTATGAGTGTAATGTCAATTCATCTGCTCAACGTCTACAGGCTGGAATAATAAAGGTAACTTGCTCAGATACAAACGTAATTAAATGTTATACAAAAATGAAATGAAAGAAAACTTGGAAAAGTAGTACAAAGCACAACTTAAAATTTATTAATTTTTTATGAAACGTATTATGTTTAACAAAAATACAAGTAAATAAAACTTGCAATCTGCAAATAATTGAATCAGTAGCAAAATAATTTATAGATCTCAAACCAAGCTTTTGTATTGAGAACAATAAACACGATAATTGTTATAAAAAAATCCTAATAAAATTTTACAATCTTTAGGTTGTTTATTTACGGACAGAAATTACGTAGGTAAATTCAGAAATCTTTGAATAATAAAACTTGTCCAAATATATCAAAAGTCACATTATTGCATTTCTTTTTAAAACTACTCGTATTTTGAGAAACAAAATTCTTTAACTATTTTAGGAATTTTTATTCATTAAAAGTAAATATATTATAATTAAAAAGTCCCCTATTGTGATCATTAATCTGTTGTATTTACTTAATAAAGATGTGATAAATCAATATTAAAAAGTTGAGAGTTTTTGAAATAATTCCTGCAATTTACTTATGATGCTCCATTTTTAGAAATTCAGTTACAATCTTTTTAGGAAACAAGTGCGTACAGTGGTCTCCAATTATTTTAATTCACATTTAAAATATGTAACATTAATTAATATCATTTGCTATATTAAGGAATAAAAATTCTCAAATGAAATCCTGACATCGAAATTTCTTCCACTAAAACATTTGCCTTTTTGCTATATAATTTTCAATTAAAACTTTATACTAATTGTTATCCAGTTGCTATCTATTCAAACAAATTATTTAAAACTGTTGAATATCTGCAACAGTTTTAAATAATAACAATTTAAACGTCAAAGCAACATACATGAATTGAAACATAAGTTATACGTTGCATATGATTATGATTTATTAAATCCCTTCCCACCGTGTGAAAATTTCATAAATTTCGCATTACGAACTTTGAAATTTTATTTATAATCGTACTTTATTCAATTTGACTTGAAAATTTAATTAATATTATTAGTCTCAGTTGATAGACTTACAATTTTCATTAAAGTGCTTAAATCAACATGATTTTACACTTATTTAAAGAAACGAAAAGTTCAGTGGAAAGAGACATATGCGAGATGTATTAGCTTCATATTATAAGGTATTTATCCCGCCTTCTTACCGTGCCTTCGTGGTGTAGTGGCCTGCACGATGGGCGCGTATTCCAGAGGTCAGTGGTTAGATTCCCGGCGAAGGCGTTACTCATTTTTCCCGTCTCCTGATTTCAAAAAATCCCTAATGTATCTACAGTGGCGCCTGAACTAAATGGGTGTTGGATGATGACTCTCCACACACAGGATATGGAGATTAGGTCCTCTAAAACACCAGTCGCTCTTTAAAAGGGGGAGTATATAAGTTGTTTCTCCCGCTTTCCTAGCGTGTCTTCGTGGTGGAGTGGTCTGCATGCTGGGTGCGTATTCCAGAGGTCCGTGGTTCGATTCCTGGCGAAGGCGTTGCTCATTTTTCATTTCTCCTGCTTTCAAAAAATACCTAATGTCTCTACAGGGTATTTATATAATGAGACAGCTTATGACAGTTTCTGTTATACTAATAAGCCTTTACTAGCATGTCTTTTAAAATAAACGAAATGAAACCCCTTATTGATGATACTTGATGATCATTAAAAAGCCATGTTTGTAGTCACTTGCTTTAGTGATGCATTGGGGAGGACCAGTAATTCTGAGAACAGGCTTCAGTTCTTTGCGACAGCGTAATGGACTTTTCAAGAAATATTTTTCTCGAATTCCTAACATCACCATAAACTTGTAGGCATACATGATGTTACGGATTGAAAACATTTTCAAGAAATCCCTCCTCTAAGATCCTAATTTTACATTAACCTTTAAAATATTTTATTACGTTAAAACTACATTTGGTTAATAATACGCTTAAATTGATATAAGTTGTTTGTAAAAGATGATTGTAACAAACTTAGCTTTCTTTAAACCAAAAAACTTTCTCCTCTCACTTTGAGGTTGGATTTATTGGACGGATTTTACTTTTCTTCCCTTAAGTTTTGAACTTGGACTCTGCCACCGATAGACGTAAAAAATCAAAATAAACTATGCAGGGACTCTGCAACCGTTACGGCATAAGAATATGCAATCAATACCCACCTGTAATCTGATTATTTTTTGCCATTATTTTATGTTTTTGTAAATGCTTTTATGTATTTGTCAGCGTTCATAAATGAGATACGTTAAAGTTATTTGTCGAGTCATTATTATGGTAGGGAATGCACTTCCATGAATAATGGCTAAAAATGATCTTGAAACTAACAGAGTACTACAGTACAGAGGCTTCTTGCTAGTGCTTTATATTTTCCTAACTGGTCATTTTTATACTTCTGGTCGGAGTGAATACTTGTAGCGTGAATGAAAGGGAGCATAAATGGAAAGTATGCAGATGTTTTATTATAGAGATGAGAAATACGTAAATGTTTTGTAAATGTAACATGTAAATGTTTTGTTTCAGAGAAAATGTTTTATTTGAAATAACATTCTTTTTTTAACAGTAAAGTGTCACTGCATATGGGCAGTTTCTGAAATTCAAGATATTATTTTCCGTTTTTTTATCTAGGCAGCTATCTTTCAAAGATTTACAACTGCTCGACCAAACAAATTTCTTTGTGGAGGGTCATTGATCAGCACAAGATATATTCTGACAGCTGCTCACTGTTGTGTTAGTGGGCCGTCTTCTGTCGCTCTGTAAGTGCCATTTCATTTGCATTCTTACAGAGCTTATTTAAGACTAAGATGATTTTATTTATTCATCTCATGAATATTGTTATAAATTACTGTAATATTTTCTTCTTTTTATTGGATTGACTTGGCATTGTATATTATTTTATTTATTTAATTTTGAATTTATGGTTTTTAGAGTTAATTTTGTGTGTAGTTCAATTTATAGCCTCATGTTTAGTATAAAAATATTTATTTCTTGTATTGGGTTGTCAATGTTTCAGTTCTGAATTCAACGACGTTTAAATTGTTAAAATAGTTCAACTAGAATGCAAGATATGGGCAAAAACGTTCTGATGGGCCTTGACGGCATCTAGCAATTTATTGCCAACTTGGTGACTTTCTGCAAGTTTCCAGTAAACGTATTTTCGAAGCTTTAGGAATGATACCGTATTTACGCGAATCTAATGCGCATCGTTTTTGGCTAAATGTAGTATTCAAAATTGGGGTGCGCATTAGATTCGATGGCGCATTAGATTCGAGTGCAAAGTTCGCCGATGACCGTGAATTAACCCCGGCAGGAAAAATTAAGCGTGCTGCACCGCACATTGTTGCACTGAGTTTCTGCTGCCTGGAAAAGCATCGAAGCACCAAAGATTGTGAAATTTTTCAAGAAATGTTGCATGACAATGATGATGATGAGGAGGAGGAGGAAAGAAGAAATGAATCTGCGGCTGACGAAAAGAGCTGCGAGGATTCCAGTGATGAAACAGTGAATAAAGTGAACGTTTACTATTAATCACTAATTGTAGAAACTGTTAGCTAGATAGAAATGTTACGATTTATTTCATGTTCATATTTTACGATAGATACCGTATATACGGTAGTGGTAATTAACAATGATTGTTTCACATAACAATTGCCCACTAATAGGTTAATTCTGTGTTCTACTACTTTATGTATAAATCCATTGTTGTATAAAATATGGTATCTAAATTTAAATAAAATTATCATACCATTAATTGATAGTTTATATACAAATCCATTGTTGTATAAAATAAGATTCAATAAATTCCTCATATCATTGATGCGCATTACATTCGCCGACAAACAATATTTTTATTATTTAAAGTAAAATGGGGATGCGCATTAGATTCGATGGCGCATTAGATTCGCATAAATACGATATTTCCCAGAGCTTCCAGAAGATCGGGCAACACCTTATCAATAAGCGCTAGGAGAAGTCTGTTGTTACTCAGATTTAAGAAATTGGCGGTTCAAACAGAATGAACTGCACTTTAGAGTTTATTCTGTGAGTGATGTTGAAAATTTACGATATTTCTCGTGTGGTAAGGATGATCTGCCTAATTTTCACGTTCTCCTAGAGCTGTTTATTGCTATTTATTTTGATTTATATTTTTTCAAATTATAATAGTAAATTTCCAGTTTTTCATACCCATCTAGAGTGACTATTTAAAGAAACTGAATAACTATTATTCATAATTATGCGGGAATTAAAAAGAAAATTTGAGTAGTTAACAAACATGATGTTATACTTTATAAGTAAGCAATCTGTTTCATCTAACTGCGAAAGAATCGTGACAATATAAAATTTTAAAAAGAAAATCATTTTGAACAGTTAAAGTAAAGTGGTCAATCTGCATTTATATGGATGTTCTGTAGTAGTGCTGGCATTAAATATATGTCGAGAAGACCCGCAGAAGTTTCAAGTCGAAATTTAAAAAGGAAAAAAAATTGACGATTAAATTTGATATTCAGCGAAGCTTCCAAGTGTCAGTAGCCAAATTCTCGTTTACAATAATTTTATTGAATGTGCTGTTTATCATTTCTGAAGAATTTGTCAGAAGGTTGATAATGAATTGTGTGTTATTTTTGTACTTCACCATTCTAAGGCAATTTATCCAAATAAACAAGTCCAAATAAAAAAACGACTATTACATTACAGTTAATGAGTCGTTACTTCTTGTCATAATATCTGCACTGCAAATGAATGAATAACCAGATATTAGAAATTCAATGAATAGAACGCCAATCATTCCGCTGGATGAAAGTCTGTAATGGAGTATAAAATACCAACAGAATTGTTCTTTATAAACTCGACAGCCGCATGAATTTACTAAAATACGGATCTAAGTAGTGCTGCGTTGTTTTCCATTGCGCTATTTTGGCGAATTCCGCAATCTTTTAATGTTTTGAGTCAGCGCATCAGTATAACTAACCTCGCAGTTTTAAAAAAATACATAACTAATTGCAAATCTGTAGAAAACAGGTTTCAAAATTTTAATCCTTTTTTTAAAATGCTACAAAAAAGAGAAATATCAGTCCTTCTTCTTAAAACTTAACCTAGCTTACTGAAGATGGGGGTTACGCAAAATCAAAGCAAAACTAGCGAAGATACGGATGCTTGTCTTTCTGGCATGTGACATTTAAAATATTGAATGGCTTTCGGGTATCGAAAAATTATATCAAAAATTGAGTAGTTTGCGGGTAGAAAAATATGATGGGAAAAATAAAATTTGTCCGCGAGGATTTTCTCAAAACTGAGACGGAACTGGGTGGAAGTTGTAGTGTCATCCATAAGGTGCCTAAGGCCGTCTAAGAAACTGGCCGGAATTTGCAGTGTCATGTATAAGGTGTTTAAGGCACAGTCGCAGTTCAGCAGGATGACAGTCGCAGTTCAGCAGGATAATATTCGTGGACTTGATCTAATATTACTGTCAAACAAGCAATATAAGTGATAGCAACATTAGCACATAAAATATCGTTACGAAATGCCCAGCTGCGGTAAGATAGCTTTCCTGCAAAGCGGGATTAGGGTTGCTAAAAAATGGCAAGGAAAGGTAGGCTTGCCAGATTTGACATGAAATCGCCCATTTGGTAATATGCCACATACGGAGCGAGAACATTTTAGAATGAATTCTTACCGGTTTTCCTAAAAATGTTCTCAAAAGGCACGTCAAAACCTATATCCTGCCTGTACGCAGAGTAGGAAAGTATCTAGAGCATGTTGAGTTTAGTAGTAGTGCCAATTCAGAGTGATCGAGTGAGTCTGGAACTCTACTTTAGTGCTTTGCCGTGAAACTGTCTTCCTCGTTACAGCCTGAGAGCCTGAAGGCTGTGTTGCAGATGGTTTCAGCGTGTTTTTCGTAGTTTTTCGATGTCTGTAACGCGTCTTTGGAACTGCCCTGTATAAGTCTGACGAATAAATTATGTTTTGAGTCTTTATTAAGTGTTGCCATCAATGCAATAATATAAACCAGGTTTGGAGCAAATTAGAGCAAAATATGCAACATGATAACAAAAAAGACTTCAGATGTCAACAAATCTTCAAATTTTCCGCAACTAAGAAGGCAAAGTGGAATTACAGACGAATGAATTAAAGATAAAAAATAGGTTGCATTGTTTTCTACTGCTTCTTCTGACCTTATAGTTAAGGTTGTAAATGATATTAAAAATGAAAAAAAAAAAAAAAAAAAAAAGACTCATTGTAAGTAGATGACGTCAGTGATTTGGAGTGAACTGAATACACAGGTTTTCGCCCGATCTAGTATGAATACATAAATAAGGAAAACCAGCCTTCGCATTCAAATAGATAAAAAAAAAATAGCTGTGTGCAGAGAAATTAATGATAGGGTCCTTCAAGGAAATGAGACGCATTGTATTGCATTTATTTTCTTATGCTTTAAATAAATTAAAAGCTAGTTAAAGAATAATTAATGAAAGACAGGGTACTCGTGTGTTGTAAGAGAAATGACATTTTAGAACAGCTGTATTCTGTTCTGTAAGAGTATCACAGCATCATTCAAAATCCATTATGTTAGAACTCTCATAAATGTATTTTAATTACGCAACGGAGAATCTTAGAATGTCTAAATACATTTTCTTCGGGGCACTTAATTTTTAAATGTTTTTTAAATATCTTGAATCCTTTAAAACTCAGTAGAGTTAGAAATCGTTTCTAAGGTTACAAATATCATATAAAATTACTATTATTTTTAAATTATTGTTCGTAAATACTTTTATTAAACATATGCTATTTTTTATGTTTTCTTTATATAAAAGCCACACGAAGAAAATATGACAAATGCCGCCAGTTTGCCATATATATATAAATATATATACGCACACAGTTTCCAAAAAGCTCCTTATCCGGCCTTTATTTTAGCAATTGTTGTTTGAAGACGTACACTTATTGTTTCATAAATATTTTAAAGGACGTAAAAACCATATTTTGGAATTTTTAAATTTAAAAGAATTAATTTTATAAAATTTACGAAATATAACTTTTTATACTTTCCTATAGTCCCTATAATTCTATTTATGAAAATTTTGTACACGTTATAAGAAATAAAACATAAAAAAATGTGACTTCCATACTATAAAAATTTACCAAGAAATTGGATATTAAAGCCCTGCACAAATTGAAAAGCGAAATATTTACATGTACATATAACTAAAAACAGAATATCAGTTTAGGAAAACTTTCTGATTATAAGAGATAAAGTTAGGAGCATTTCTATGCAGAGAATTGTGAGAAATGTGTATCAATGTAAATGCTTTGAAAAGAGAGATCTTATTCACTATATTTTACAGAATTCGAGTTTTAGAAAATACTGACGAGCTTCATGTTGGCATGTAGCAATACTATTTGTATTAATTAAAAATGAAAAATATTTGTACTTTAAGGATTTTTTACGATTATCAGGTTATGACTGACGAAAATATTATTAACGCATTTTTAGACTTTTTAGATCTTATAATTTATTTATGTGAATGTTATTTCGGCATGTCAAATGTGACAAAATTATAAAATAAAGACACAAGTAAATCACGAGAAAATATAGGGGGATGTAAATTTTGCAGCACTAGTTTCGATGGCTTAACTAACCATCGAAACTAGTCCTGCAAAATTTACAAATATAGCGCTGATTCCTGCTGTTTGACTTCTTCAATAACACTGCTGGTCGAATGGAACAGACATAGCACATCTTAGAATTATGTTTAACAATAAAACTTATGAACGTATCCTTATGATTAACAGACTCCCTTAACTTAAAGCGTCTATTTTTAAAGTTACAAGTTACGTGGCACTGTCTTTTGAATATAACTAGACACTGTGCACCTTTGAAAAAAAATAGCATTACAAAGCTAATGCGTGAACTTTCATCTGTGCAGGCAATCAATATTACAAGTACTACCTGCTGTCACTGACTCAATCAGTTGTAGATTCTGGACTAATTAGGGCAGCATATTAAAATGCAATAGCTATTTTTCAAGGTTTCGCAAAGTATGTTTATTTCCATCGTACCTAGCACAATTGTGCACACTATCAAAATGTAACACTCTATGTAACTTGATACTGACCTCGTTCAATAAAAGCCGATTGATTTCCCGGCACAGCTCGGTTGTGCTGGCTGGTAGGTAGCAGTTTTTTTCCCGCGATAACGAAAGATAACAAACAGCAAAAAGAATATGTCATTCGATATATTCTGTTTGTTGTTTGTTATCTTTTGATATCCTATGTCAGAAGTTATCCATGGGGTTGAGTAGTATGTCCGAATTGCATACTTACTAATAAAAGCCGTGTTTTAACTGAAATTTGATTTAGGTGGACTTTTATTTGGGATACTCTGTATTTTACCCTTCTACATTTACACCGAAGTACTGTAAGTAGGTTACTTAAATTACTTAATGTGAAATATATTTGTAATAAATTGTTGTGCTAATTAACTACCTATATCAAAACATTTTAATATATTCTCATTAAAATCCCTGATGAATTTCCATCCATATGCATTATCCTTTTAAAAAGCCAATAAATATTGCATAATTAATCATTTTAATAACCTCTCATAAGTAAGTGTCCTTGTGTTGTAAAGCAAATTTGTTGTTTTCTTCAGTCCAGCCTCATCGTTTCTGGTTCGGATGGGCACAAACGTCGTTCACGAGGGCGATACCTTCTCCATAGCTAAAGTCAAAGTGCATTCCAACTTCTCATTCACTGGCCAATTCAATGATATTGCCTTGCTGAGGTTGACAGCTGATCTTCCTTCTTATACGGATCGCATAGCTCCTGTCTGTCTTCCTTATCCTACGTTATTAGACGCAGATTTGGTGGACCAAGAAGCAACAGTTGTTGGATGGGGAGCCTCATACTTAGGTCATTATTAACCCATTTTCTAAGTATTTATTTCCCAAAACTCGCTTATTTTAAATTGGTGCTTTTATTTTCAATGTCCGAATCTTTTCAACTAAAACTTTCTCTCTGCACTTAGGTTATTTGCAACATTCCTTTATGTTAATTAACCAGTTATTTTGTATTTTGGTTCTTTACAGTTTTCTCACTTCCGTTTTCTCGCCAGAATGCACATTTAGTTTGTGTGTACTTGAGGCAAAGTTTTTGCATTGTAAGAGCGAACGTATTCTGCCTCTCAAGACCACGCTACTAGGTTGCTAGATAAAATAAGATTTGTAGTCTTCGGCCTTGCATTATAATTGCCGACAGTATATATCCACACCAGCTAAGTTTTGAGACAACTTCAAGTCAAGTAATTTGTGTAACCTTTGGCTACTAGCTTAATTAAATTTAGCTTTGTTTTTGAACTTAGTGTTAACTTAAGTTATTCCACCGTAAGTTCTGGCTGAGCTTGTAAGCACCAGGTACACTATTTGTTCTTAGTTTTAAGTAAAAGGTCTTTTAAAGCTTCAATTGTTACAGTAGACTTAGCGATAATTCACTGTCAGTCTATCTAAAGTTAAATTACATTATCACAATTATAATTAAAGTTAAATTATCTAAAGTTATTATGCTTGAAAAAAAGATATCTAAACTTTATACATTTAACTTTAACATACATTAACTTTTCAATGGTACATTATATTACAAACAAAAACCAAATATTGAGATCCATTCTAACTAAATGCAAGAACGTAAGTTTGGATGTGTAAGTTTCTTTGCATCAGATTACATCACAGGTATTCATGATAGGAACCGTGAGTGACTTAATAGTTTCTATCAGATAGTCCGTTTGCTACTGTACCAGTACACCTCGCACAAAAAAAAAAAAAAAAAAAAAAAAAAAAAAAAAAAAAAAACACTATAGCTTCCGTTTTTATAGGCCAATTGACGAAATTTAAAATGTGTTTTTCCGTGTCTCTAAGGCGAGACTTAGGATATTTATTAGTTTTATATATAGCATTGTTCTAACAAAGGTATTCTGACACAAAGTCGGATTTTTTCTGAAATGATATATCTGTTTTTTTCCATATTCCGATTCTACTACTCATTATGCCAAAGTTCGAAGATTTGTAAAAAATCGCACGAGAAGTTTTTAAAAAATTATCTCTCAAAAGCTAATTTTTTAAAAACTTCAAAAGCTTCTTAGTTTTAATTCAATTTGATATATATTTATTAATAACACTCTTTTTATTAAACTTGATTTCTTCTTTCTCAGTTCGGAATTTAGGTTCATTCCAAATAAATGTCTCAGTTATTTACTTATTTATTTTTAAACTTTATATTATTCAGTATTTTTGTTTAATTTTCGAAAACATATTTAATTGCAACCTACAAAAGTTTTACCATAACCTTAAAGTAGAATTTCTAGGCATACCTACAAAAAATTAGGTTTTATTCAAAATTTCCCGTGATATACATCAACATACATATTGGCACGTTTTCAAATTTGGCATATTTCTTATTAACGATAATAAAGCCAAACATGCTGAATAAAAGATGAAAGAATGAACTAAGCACCTTTTTTCCACTCGTGCACAATGAAAGGGAAAGGAAAATAAGTTAGCATAAATTAAGAATTTCGCCAAGTGAGTTATTATTGGTTCAAACTGAAAAAGAAAATCGCCAAGATACATGTTTAAATTTCTCGTTAATTTTCTCATCAAGTTTTACACAATTTAATATTTAGGCATAATTAGAATCCTAGAATTGAAATATGAAAAATAATAGCTATGTCATTTCAGAAAAAGTCTGATTTTGTGTCAAAATAACAAAGTTGAAACAATGCTTTATATAAATTTAATATATAATCTAAGTGCGCTTTCGAGACATAAAAAATGCAAGTTAAGTTTCATCACTCTGCCCAGTGTAATGGAAGATGTAGAACTGTCCTGTTTGTTTTCCAGAGTGAATATATTGTTGTATCTAGGATTTCTTTTGTAACTTTGGTGAAACTTTTGAAAATCTGGATTTTTTCATCTTCTGGATGCTACAAATCCAAAAACTGGCACTGCTTCTGAAAATTGCCAAATACAGAATATAAGCACAATATCTAATGCACAATCACAAGAAAAATCGAACGGAATTGCATCGGACAATGCCTCATAATTTTTATACGTGTATTATTTCCATCAACACTTCGAACAAGCTATTAACTTTTTACCATTTAAAGCAAAGTATAAACGAGGATAATTTTTCTTTCAGACGATTGTGGATGGAATGTTTATCTTTCTTTTCGTCAACTATGTAATTTTGAGACTTACGCTTGCTGTTCTGTTTATCTGGTACCCTTATCTTTTATCATATCTATCATTCACTGTGTACTTTGTTTCAAAATATACTGAAAGTCTTCCATATTATAAATCTAAATTATTTAATCATACTAATTATTCTAAATATTTGCATTTAGAAATACTAATTATTTTCGTAGACTGTAATCTTTTTGGCGCGATCTCATATTACTGTGTTGTATTTTGCATGTTATTGTTTCCTTCGTTTCTTAACATGATTTGTTTCCTGCAGAGTGTAAATGTTTAAAGGTTCATCACAGTTTTCTGAATAACCTGAGTTTTCGAACATTCCACAGGTGGAGAACATCAAGAGATGCTACACGAGGTGACTGTACCGATTGTATCAACCGATGATTGCGCCTTGGCATATTCTAGAATAAGAAGCGCTGCTTTTCTTGCCAGGGGCTCTACGCATGTGCTATGTGCTGGTCTCAAAGAAGGAGGGAAAGATTCGTGCAAAGTAATTATGGTTTTGCTATTTGTTTCTTATTAGTGTATTTACACTTCCAGAGATATTTGACTCTTAGCCCATATTTCTAAATCTTTTCTACCTTCAATCTTTAAATTACCATTTACATTAATAGTATAAGGTATTTTTCCCGTCTTCTTAGCATGCCTTCGTGGCGTAGTGGTCAGCACGCTCGACGCGTTTTCGAGAGGACCGTGGTTCGAGTCCCGGCGAGGACATTGTTCATTTTTCACATCATTCCCGTTTCCGAATAACCCGTTTCCGAATAATAATAATAGAGTATTTTAATTCTTAATATTATCACGTATGAACTGAAGAATTGTGAATAAGTCAGAGATAACATTGATAAAAAAGTGTATTTAACGTGACTTTCTGGTTTAAAAAAAATCTTTTTTTTATTACTAGTATGTGTTTTACTAGAATACTACATGCATGTCAATCGGTTTTTAACCGTAATGGAAATACCATCAGGAGGGGAAAAACTTTCGTTTCTATTAATATTACAAAAATAATACCTATTAAGTAAAGTAATAAAATAAGATATTAATAATAATAAAAAAGATGAAACAGGAAACTATCTCGTGCTTTATTTCTTTGTTATACATTATTATTACACATTACTTATTACAGAAAGAAGTAAATAATAAAGTACAAACTTGCTCCTTAATAAGAAAAAGTATCAAATTAGTGTCTAGCGATTGCTTATTAAAATTATTAATTAGTATTGATCATAATTATTTCTTAATTCATACTAATTTCGACATATACGAGACTACGACTAATACGAGACTATTAATATTAATACTCGATTAAGTACCAGTTATTTTTTTATATTTCAAAATTGTTATTTTTATGGCTTTAAAATAAAAGGATATGAATATATATTTACGTTTTTTAGAAAATGCATAACTGCAACAAAACTACCCAAATGTTGTGCTTTGACCAAGGAATAAAATTCCTAGCTATCGTTTGTCACAGCTATGAAATAATTGTGATGACTTCGTTGTTTAATAAGGCACCATTTAGCAAGACGAAACGAACATTTATTAGGAAAATATGATTCAAAGCATAATAGTAACTCAGAGCTCCCTCTTCCGAGGCTAACGTGCATTTCTCAATAAATACATTAACTCTTCTTGGCGAAGAGCTACATGCGCCAAGCACGCTCTGTTGATCGCCAAACAGTCGCCAGATATCACAATAATATACGAGCATATCAATAATCGGTTAGTGTAAAGTGCAGCTAACTTTTAAAACTTTAGAGACATTAGAACTTTAGAGACTTTACAAAACTTTTGAGAATTTATAAGAAGAAACGGTTCTCGTTCAGTGTTGTATACATACGTTACTGTTCTCATTTAATGCTACATAGATGTTTTACATAATGTTACATAGATAAATTCAGCAAACGCACAATTTATTTTCTCATTTTAATATCGAGCTAAAGTACTAATCTTCATTAATTTCTGCTACTAGTGAGGCTATTGTGTTAAAAATACCTTTAATGATCAGTGCACACACGCATTCATGTAGTCCTATTAAACTTTAAATAAAAGATTTCTAAAATCTTAATTCCGAGCAATCGGAGAGAAAAATTAAATTTATTTGTGAAGCTATCATCTACATAGGAGCTTTTAACAGAAAACTGAAAGAGAGTAAGCAAGACTAACTAACCACAGAAATGTAGAAAAAATGAAGCTATTGAAAAAAATAACCCAATGCTTGTTAAAATGAAGTAAATTCAGAAAAGACCATAAACAACAATGTCGACAAGTATGAAAAACATTTTAAATTATCAGAAACTACAGCCACTAAATTGAAGATTTGAATAACCAGAAACATAATTTCCTTAAAATGAATATCAGCTAACCATGAATGAAGCTCACAGAAGATATGTGAATTTTACCTCAATCTGAAGCACAAGATACTTAAAAGTTCTAGTTAACGATCCTAATTCCAATCCATCTTTGCCTTCGGGCTTTAAAGAAATTATGTTTTAGTTCTGGTTTCATCAACAGATGGCGCCACTAGCTTATTTTCTGTCCAGGTTTTCTTATCTTATCTGATCATTATAGCCTATCTCGTTCATTTGCGCTTTCGCAGCTGACGATGGTGGTTCGGTAAAACCATCGAAACTATTCCTGTGAAAATATGAAAATATAACGCTGATTTTTGCTGTTTGACTTCTGAATTAGTTAAAAGAAATTCAGAATTCACAATGATTTCACAATGATAAATGATAAATTCACAATGATAAATAATTTTTATTTATTTCACTTACAATTTTCTCATAAAGAGGTGGGTTTAGATAAATTTGTGTAATATTCAGATTGAGGAATGTATCCAACAAACTGTTTCATGGCTATACGAATTTAAACTATAGCTGGGTACCCATAATAGCAAAAGGCAACAAAGGGTATCATTTACTATCTAGACTACAATTCCGATCATGTGACGCCTTTTAATATAATAAATATATAAGTATTTGGAAAGAAATTTTAATGAAAAGGACTTCTTTCCGAGATGAATTAATGAAATAAAATAAGCATCCTCTTTATATAATCAAAATTACTCGAAACACCATTCATTAAATTATTTTAAACTGTTTTCGAATTTCTCGCATTTTACTAAGATTTTGAGAAAGCATGGATATCCGGGTATTGTAAAGGCTTTATGCTTAAACCAATGAAAAATGCCGTACGTAAATATTTTGAATAAAACACTAATGAGATGAATAATAATTGTATAGCTTGTGTAAGCATTTTAGAAGGATTTATTTCTCCCAGATTTCATTAACTACAAAACTGTTTGAAAAAGAAAATATTGGGATTAAATGAATTTTTTTCAGACCAAACATTATGAAATAAAATATAATTAAAAATGGTTACAGGCAAAAACATCGCCAGTAATAAATAAAAATAAAGTAATATTTTTTTTAACTTTATATTACAAATTATTTTCAAAAACTACTTATAGATATGAAAGAAATATTAATTCTTATGACTAAGTCAGCTGGCTATATTCAAAAAATAATTTTTAGTGAATTATTACGAACTAACATAAGAAAAAGGAATGAATGTGCTAAAATATGAAGTAATCTCTCTTTCTGTACTTTTATTTCAGAGTGATTCTGGAGGACCGTTGATGATTCAACTCAATAACGATCGCTGGACCATCATTGGAATTGTGTCATTCGGTTACAGATGCGCCGAACCCGGGTTTCCTGGAGTTTACACTAGTGTTCCTCATTACTTAGAATGGATCTACAGCAATACGCAAGACTGATTTGTGAATAATCGAACCGTTGACTGAATGAATTTATTCTATTAAAAACAACTTGAAAATGGGACTGCGACAGCCCATAATGTGTTATTGATGAGAACCTGAATTCAGAGCCTGGGATCGATATTCTTTGCATCAGGAAATCTTAAATCAGAGAAGCAACATTTTTTTTATTAAAACAAGTTTTCTAAAGAAATTCTTTTTTGTTTTATATTTTTGCACCACCTCTTGCAAACACACATAATTTTGTAAATTTGTTCTTGATTTAGTGTTTGATTTATATGTATACGAGGTATTTTCGTTTGTTACCTATATTAATGTATTTATAAAATAAGCTAAGGTTTCATATCAGTTATTGTTGTTATGTTCTAGACTGAACTAGGAATTCTAGACTGAACTTTAAAGTCATAATAAAAGATTTGGAATCACTACCTGTTATCATCGCATTATTACAGAATTTGGTACGATAGAGAAGAAACAAATGTACTATAATAAGTATGTAGCTTTATCAAACAAATACAATGTGCGCAAAAAAAAAAAAAAATGAAAATTTCTCGACATGTAATATTAATGGCCTCCTACGCAACGTAAGTTATTTTCCATTTATATAGTGGCCTATCTCAAGCAATGAAAATACTACCAAATTAGTATGTGGGACTTCACTTGATCTAAAACTGGTAATTAGTGCTGTAAACCAAACAAATATAAAGCGAACTTATCGCTTTGTCTGAAGGTAATACAAAATCTTGAGGAGATTTAAATAACCTTTTTATTTAAACAGAATTTGCGCACTCTATTCTTGTGCTAAGAAACGCTAACAAGCCACAACTCATGGTGATGCAAGTAAACAAAACTGTCAAATTTAAGTTAAACTTGGAAGAGTAGTCAAAGAGTATACAGTTAAATATCACTCCAACCTGGCTCAGTATTCCACTGAAGTGTCAAAATCAAAATTTCAGCAGCGATATAACGCAAGACGAATAATTACAACTATCAGAGCTGATCGGAAACTAACATGTTGCGTTAAAACTAGGCATAAACTAAAAGCATTACTGTTTTGAATGGCCTGAGATATGATAGTTATCCGCTAATACATTTGAAAATAAACATTTAGATAAATAAGAGTTATACAAAAAACATTAATAAAGTTATTTAGGAACAATTAAAGATTAATGGCTTTCACCGCATTTCGTTTTAACATGATTTAGTTCAGATTTTCTGAAAAAATGTGTTAACGCAAATATTAAAAATAGTATCAACGTTAAAATTCTAGAATGTAACTGCCAAAAGAGAGATTTTTACATTTGATCATTACCGTTAACCAAAATTATTATATTACAAGGTTTACTCTCGACCGAGGTCAACCGGTGTATTGACGTCGACATCCTTCACTTGTAAAGCCTCATTTAGTATTAGTGCGATACGAATGCGTGGCGGTTACGTCATTGTCCAGCGTCGAAAAAAGAAAGGTTTGCCACTTGAAAGAGCATAACCTCTTCTCTCTACCGATCTTGTTCTCATCTATCATCTTTGGACTTCAAACGTAAAATTTCATTTGGAGAACTCAGTGTTTGCTGTTGTGTAACGATACTGACTCTCAAAAACCTCCCCAAATGCAGCTACTGTTGTGTGGTTTCTTTTTTCCCGCTTCTGTAAGTAAGTGACGTCAGCGTTGGGAAGAGCCTAACCTTGTTTGTCTACTGAATTTGATTTATTGTGTTTTGTCGTAATGATTTATTGACAGCTTCACAAATGATAGATAAAAGATATCGATGATTTTTCACCACGAATTGGAGACGTCACCTGGGAAAATAGCTATTCTTTAATCGAGAAAGGAATGTTAGTAACTCCTATGTTCAGTGCCCTTAAAGTCAAATTATTGACCTTAAAGTCGAGATAATTATCTTAAAAGAAAAATTAACTATTAAATTTAATGCTGTAAGTTTTAAAATCTAATTTCTTTTAGACGTTGCATAAAACCAAGACACATTTTGCCCTCTGACAGAGAGGTAGAAGGCTCGAAACGACATTTTTTGCTGGTTAGGCACTGGTTGAAAGTGAGAACGGAATTGTTGCGAAGAATAAAACTAAGAATTTTAATGTTTAAAAAGAACTTTACTGAATAATTGAAAAATTTTATTTGTGTTTTGAATAATTTCATAAAAATAGATTTCTGATTATAAAGCGTAGTGTTGGCATAAAAGAAACGTAATTTATAACAGCAGTACCAATACTTTTCAATAACTAGCAACATTTATTACACTACCATCACATAAACGTCCATTGCAAAATAAGTTCTAAGCTTGTCTAGTTTTCTAATGAATTCTCATACTATCATCGCTGTTTTGTTTTAGTTTGCCTGGCGCTTTACTGCCATCTTTTGCACATGATAATTAAATAACTGAAAATGTGAAAAATGCAGTTAATTTTGAGCTGCTAAATAAAATAAAACAAAATGACTAGAAATTAACGTAAATTTCAGATAGTTTGATTTTTAAACTGGTGCTGAATCTACAACATGGTGAAATTTATTCCCTTTTTAAATGTTTAGTATAATCACACCTAGTAGGAAAATATACGTCAGGACAAATGGTAATTCCTCCATTTCTGTATAAAAACGTTTAATAAAAAGAGTTTACTATTTCTTAAGAGTTAAAACTATTTATTTAACTTCTTTTACTGATCTTTTAATTCTAAAATAACCATTCGCTTCAGCAGTATGTAGATTAGAATTTAATAACAAGAGCATTTTAAGTAATTAGCTCCATCTAGAAAAGCACAACTGAAATTATATGGAAAAAACATGGAAGTATAATAAAACAAAACCAGAGGCTCTTAAATTAACTTTAAAGCAGAAACATGTAGCTGAAAGAGAAAATTGCTAGAACAAGCGACTAAAACACATTTTCTTGATAGCTAAAATAAATTTTAAGATTCAGATTTAAAGAGCTTCAAGAATCAGTTTCAAAGAATGTTTAATTTCAGGGAATTCAAAATTGTAAAAACAACAAAAACGATGCAGGCATAAAAATTTATTTTGTTTTTCAAAAAGTTTCTAATTCAAGATGCAAGGTAATTTTTGAAATCGGTATTGTATTTTGGCACAAGGAACGTCATTCTTAACCTTTTGCAGACAATGAAACCTCATTGACATGAACATCCACAGTCCTAGATGAATTTGGTTTTTTACACTCAACCACAAAATTATTCTTAATATCAATAATAACATTTGTATTCTGCGAAATACTGTTCACTTTCAGAGAGACCGTCTACTAACGATCATCACCATGAGCGTTAAATAGAGATGTTATATAATTTGTTATACTTTAAGATATATGTATATATCATGTCCTCAAAAACTTTTAACCTGCCTTTATTCTCGCAACTGCTGGGCACAAAAATATACTTCCTTTCAGCTACAAATTATTTTAAATGTCACAAATATTCATGTTCTGTCGTGTATAAATTTATAGAAATCATCTTTATCAAAACTACGAAATCTAAATTTTTGCATGTTCCTCCGATCCCTATACTTGTAGTCAGGAAATTGTTGCACTCCGTATAAAAAATAAAGTGAGTTAACACAGACATATTTATATTTTAAAACTTATTTATTTGATAATAAAAACGGAGATCATATTCACGGGTGGCGCACAAATTGAAGAGCAGAATGTCTGCACGTAACTAAAAGTAAAATATTATTTAGAAAATGCTTCTGGCGTTAAGAAAGTAATCGACGAGTATATTGTGAAAAATATTGATCAGTATAAATGTTTTCAAAATGGAGATCTTATTCACAAAATCACAGTGCATTCCCATTTTAGAAAACTGTGGCAGATTTAAGTATTGACCCGTAGCCAACTTATAATACTATTTACATTGTTGAGTTCTACGGGTTCACGGATTTGGAGTGATTGATGACAACACTTGATGAACATCAAAATATTCGTCAGTATTACACAAAACAGTTCCAAAGACACGTTATAGTCGTCAAAAATTTATGATAAACCTGCTGAAACAATCAGCAACACAGCCTTAAAGTTTATGAGGCTATAAGGGTAAAGACAGCTTTCACGGCAAAGCACAAAAGTATAGCTCCCGACTCGGTCCATCGCTCTCGAGTTAGTCTATGAACTCTAGAGACTACTACTGAACTCAAAATACTCTCAAGATACTCTACTTCACGTACAGGCAAGGTACATATAGCTTTTTTTCTGCCTTCGAGAACATTCTTGGGAAAAGTGAATCATTGTAGAATTCATTGTACTCAAACTGAATTCATTGTAGAATGTTTTTGATCTATCTTTGGCATATCGCCAATTTTGAAGCCAAACGTCGTCAAATGGACGATTTTGCGTCATATCTGGAAAAGTGAGTTAACGTGTGAAATTTACCGTTCACTTTTGGCAACCCTAAACCCGCTTTGCGGGGAAGCTATGTTACCGCAGCTGGGCGTTTCGCAACAACATTTATTAAAAATTAAAAATATTCGGCATTTATGATTACCTGGTTACGGTTGTAAAGAAATAAAACTTTATGAGAACATTAATATGGTATTTTAAGATTTGAAAACTTATAAACTACAGTGGTGGCAAAAATTGTGGACACTTTATAAGAGTAAAGAAACTGAGATCACTGAGCCGGGTAACAGAGTGGATATATATATAAATATATTTATTTGGAAATTTTTATATTTTTGAACTTTGTATGCTTATAGAAAATGTTACGTTTCGCAAAATGCAAACTTGCATATATCATTTTAAAAGAATTTATTACTGAATTCAATACAAAACACAAAATTCAATTATTTGCAATACAAAAAAGTTATATGTACTTTAATATAAATAAAAAACACAGTTATAAAGTGGTTTGTAATGTCTAGCTTTCCTGGCCAATCACTGTTATTTTTCTGAGAACCAATCAAATGTTAGTAACTGATAGTAGAAGCTGACATCATGTTTACATTTGAAACAATTCATTATTTTGCTTTGGTCTGTAGAAGGAGGACCTGTTTCTTATACACTGCAATTACAAGTAGGAATTTTTGTAAAAATTTTTAATATTTAGTCAAGAAGCAATGACATCAAATAAAAGAGTAGATTGGACACCTAGAAAGAGATGTAATATTAATGCGTTACAAGAAAGTGGTCTTTCCTATGCTGAAATTGCAAGACAGGTGGGTGGTTCAGTGACTACATCTGGAGTCCTAAAGTTTTGTTTACGATATCAGGAGACAAATTCAATAAAAAACAAAGAAGGAAAAGGCCGAAACCGAAAAAGGTGCACCACAATCTATTGATGACAGAAGAATAAAAAGACTATGTCTCCAAGATAGAAAAATGTCATCAGCGGCCATCAGAAGTGATCTGAATGATGCTGGTGTTTCTGTCAGTTCAAGAACAATCAGGAGAAGATTAACAGATGTTGGACT